TGCTTCAAAGCCTTTGTCTGACCATCTTAACATACATGTCATCTTGACAGTCATCTTTTCCTGGTTCTTCAGTTTTAGACTCATTTTTATTGCATGAATGAATATTCATTATTTGGATATGAGTCTTGTAAAAACCTAAAAAGTGCTATTTTAAATAATTGTTATTTTTGCCGATGACCAATCACATTAGCTTTTGACTTTAAGGGATATTTTGTTTGTTTGTTTGCTTGTTTGTTTGGTTTTAGTTTTTTGAGACAGGGTTTCTCTGTGTAGCTCTGGCTGTCCTGGAACTCACTCTAGAGACCAGGCTGGCCTCAAACTCACAGAGATCCACCTGTCTTTGCCTCCCACATTCTGGGATTAAAGTTGTGCGCCACCACTGTCTAGCATCCAACTGCAAGTTTTAAAAATTTCTGCCTGTAGACAGGGTTTCTAACCTTTGTCAATGTCAATTTATATCTATTCAACACAAACTTCAAAATATACTTCCAACTTATGTGGTCCCTTGGGATCTGGTTGACCCTCAATGGTGACTAGCATGCAATGCATAGAGGTCAGAAGTTTTGCTAAACGTCTTTAATTGCACAGGACAGAGCAAGGAATTACCTTGTTCCAAATAGCAGAGGTGTCGAGGCTGAATGCCTTTATTCAGTTCTTGAAGTTATTGCTGTCTTGCCTTAGGCCAGTCTCATGTACATGTACATCAAAGGTAACTTGGCACTTTGAGAGACTCTTACTATTTTCTTGGGTCGTTCTCTTCCCCAGCTCACTTTTTTTCAGGGTACCTTTCACATTCTTTAATAGAGGTATCGTTTCCCCAGTTTTGTGCAGAGAGTTTCTTCTAAGAATTTTAACACCCTGCATTATTGCTGCTAAGAAGCTCTGCAGTTCAGTTTTCCCCTTAGAGAAAAGCCATAGGTAAAAAGAGGGAAAAGGGAGAAACTTACTCTTCTGTGTGGGGTGTGTGTGTGTGTGTGTGTGTGTGTGTGTGTGTGTGTGTTAGTGCACCATGTGGCTGCAGTGTTTGCAGAGGCCAGAAGACTATGTACGGTGTGTGTGTGTGTGTGTGTGTGTGTGTGTGTTAGTGCACCATGTGGCTGCAGTGTTTGCAGAGGCCAGAAGACTATGTACGGTGTGTGTGTGTGTGTGTGTGTGTGTGTGTGTGTGTGTGTGTGTGTTAGTGCACCATGTGCCTCCAGTGTTTACAGAGGCCAGAATAGGACATTGAATCCTTGGGACTGGAGTTACAGATGGTTGTGAGTCACCACAACCCAGGTCTTCTGAAAGAGTGGCTAATACTCTTAAATGAGAAAACTGTCTCTCTAGTCCTGTGTTGCTTTAATTTTTGAGGCCATGCTACTGTTTGTTCATTGTGTTCACTTTGTAAAGTCCTAAGATAGTGTTTTAATAGATATTTTATCCAGTTCTGATTTGTAATCAACAGGAATCAGAGGCCACTGTCTTGGTAAAAATTGGGAGTTACATTCTGATATTTAATGTACGATGAAATGCCAAAGATATTTGTAGAGTTATGTAAAATTAATATAATGAAGCTCTTGGAGACTACATAGTCCAAAGGAACTATATCAGTATTTGCCTGGGTAAGTGCCTATGTACAGACAACTAATCAAGTATGTTCTTAAAATAACTGGATGTAGTCAAAACACAAGCATTCTAGTTATGCTGTGATGTCTTGATATATTTTTCCATACTCTTTTTCAAGGGGGTAGCTTTGCATAAATATCCTCCATGGTATCTAGGATAATGACTTAGGAATCATTTTACTCAGAGTCCCAGGCTAGGCATTCTGTAAACACTCTTGGTGCTAGAAGTATTGGAATGTGGGTGGACTTGCTGCTACTAGCTCCCACCTCAGTTACAACAGCCCACATTATAATTTTTTCACATTTGGGCTATTAAAACAACTAAGTTTTATACTGGTAAATAAAATCATAGAAAGCCACCATTTTGAAAAACATTTGTTTCAATTCTCTATCTAATCTAATTGCTTTTGGGAGAGAGTTTCAGTTTGAGTTTAGCATGTATCTTTAAATTTTTTTTCATGCTTTGCTAGTTTTATACAGAAATTTATTCATCTTAAAGCACTTGCTAATTTCCGATGTAAAAAGTCTTTTCTCAGATAAAAACAGTGTCTTTCTCTTCCCCGACGTGTTGACATCAATCAAATATTTATATGCCAAATAAAACATGCATTTTTATTTGAATGACATTTTTCACTTCTGTAATTTTTTAGACTTAAATTTTCTTTAAAATGGAGCAGAAGATAAAAAACAAAACTATTTTCCACAAGCAGAAGGCAGCCATAAAAGTAAATCACAAAACAATTCTGAGGGCCTGGAGAGATGATGGCTCAGAGGTTAAGAGCACTGGCTGCTTTTCCAGAGGACATGGGTTCAATTCCCAGCAACCACATGCGATGGGGGTAGTCCTTCTGTGTATATGTTTGCCTTATTGGTTGATAAATAAAGCACTGTTGGCCAATAGGAAAGCAAGATAGGTGGGAGGATTCTGAGAAACGCAGTCAAGAGTAGAGAGTCACCACATGATCCTGGAAGAGAGGATACATGAGGCTGGCATTCTCAGTAAGATAAGACCTTATAGAAACATATATATTAGTAGGCATGGGTTAATACTTAAGACAGAACTAGCCAACGAGAAGTCCTGGACATTGGCCGACAGCACTGTAACATTGTAATTGGCTCTGGGACCAGGCTGGCAGAAAGAATGCTCTTTACACACATGGCAGATCACAAAACTCTGTAACTTCAGTTCCAGTGAATCCAGCACCTTCACAAAGACACACATGCAGGCAAAACACCAATGCATTAAAATAAAAAAGTAAAAATGTGTAAAATAAATAAAATAAAATTCTGTTACTGTTGCTTGTTTAATATTTGAAGTCTAATGCCAACTCTTTTGAGAAACAAAACAAAACATTAGCAAGCATTAGAGAAGTATCAAAGGGCATCTGTTGAGATAGCTCAGAGTTAAAGGACTGGCTGCCAAGTCTGACTGCCTGAGAGCCAGAATCCACATGGTGGAAATGAGAACTGACTCCCACAAAGTTGTCCTCTGACCTCCACTCATACACAGTGACACACACTCACCCACACACATGCACACAAAATAAATTAATTTTAAAAGAAGTATTATATAAAATAAGTACATATCATATAATTGATCCTGTCATATTTATGATAAATTAGTGGTTACTAAAATTTATTAATAATTTCAAAATAATTAAGAGCTTATGGATACATAATAGATCAGCAGAATGGCATATCATATTCAACACTACACTTTCATATAATCATGAGACAGTCAAAACGAAGCTTCCAGTTAGGGTAGCAGCAAAATTCTTAGACTAGCAAGAAATAACTACAGTAAGAAATATGCATGGTCAAGCTGATAAGAATCTAATGTTCACATAACAGTTGCTTAAGGACACATTTCTCAGAACATACTCCTGTTTCTTGTGTGTGTGTATGTGTGTGCGTGTGCATGCTTAGGTCATCAGATTTTTGTGTCAGGCACTTTTACCTTCTTAGTCATCTTACTGAACCCATTTTCTGTTCTTAAGAGATGTACAATATATATCTAGTACTTCAATAACATATGGAATAGTTCAATATTATATACAATTATGTGGAACAATTCATGCTCATGTATGATGATAATGGTGTCATAATCATTAAGAAAAATATTGTTAGCAGAGTGGTGGTGACACACACCTTTAATTCCAGCACTTTGGGAAGCAGAGGCCAGCCTGGTCTACAGAGCAAGCTCCAGGACAGCCAGGGCTACACAGTGAAATCCTGTCTCAGAAAAGAAAAAAGAAAAACAAAAGAAAGAAGGAAGGAAGGAAGGAAGGAAGAAAATAATTGTTTGATGCTGTTAACAGAATTGTTTACCAATTTCAAGGGCTGAAGAGATGGTTCAGTGGGTAAAGGTGTTTGCTACATGAGTTGAATCCTCAGAACTCAGAATCTAGGAGGAGAGAACCAACTCTCACAGCTGCCCTCTGACTACCACACACATGCTGTGGTACAGTATACCCACACACATATACTCCACACCCCACTCCCACACATATAATTGAATGAATATTTTAAAATTCTTTAGTAATTTGAAAACATACAATGGGGGGGGTTGATACAGGGTTTCTTTGTGTAGCTTTGGAGACTGTCCTGGAACTGACTCTGTAGACCAGGCTGGCCTTGAACTCAGAGAGATCTGCCTGGTTCTGCCCCCCAAGCGCTGGGACCAAAGGCATTCGCCACCAAACCTTGCCTTGAGAACATATAATTTTTACCTTTATATCAAGATATATTCCAATTAGACTTAAAATGAAAGACATGGCAGAATAGCAGGGGGACAAAAGAAAAGAACTTGAGGTTGGAGAGGTAGCTCAGTGGTTAAGAGTACTGGCTGCTCTTCCAGATGACCTAGAATCAATTCCCAGTACCCACAGAGTGTCTCAACAACCCTCTGTAACCTCAGTCCTAGGGAATCCAATGTACTCCTCTGGCTTTCATGCATGTGGTATACATAAGTACATGCCGGAAAACACCCACACACATAAAAATTATTCTCATTCTTATTTATGTATTTTATGTATATGAGTGTTCTATCTGCAGAAGAGGGTATCAGATCTCACTATTAATAGTTGGGAGCCACCATGTAGGAATTGGGAATTAACCACTGAGACATCTCTCCAGCCACCGAAAATTATTTTTTTTAAAAAAATGAAAATAAATGCAGTTAGTAGTGGTACATACCTTTAACCCCAGCACTCGGAGGCAGAGGCAGTTGGATCCTGGTCTACAGAGTACATTCCAGGACAGCCAGAGCTATACAGAAAAACTCTGTCCCAAACAAAACAAAACAAAACCCAAAACTAACAAAAAACAAGAAAAACACTCAAAATTTTTTTTAAAATTGGTAAAAATCTATAATTAGTAAAAGAAAGATTATGATGATATATGTGTTGTGCCCAAATTCTGAAACCTCAAAATCACCAAGAGACCCATTTCGATACAAAAGCAAACAGTCCTTTGGTGTTGTTTAATGAGCTAACCCCATTAACTCCATTCACCGCAGCAGATGCTGGAGAAGGACCAGGGGAAACACAAGGCAGGGAATATATTGGGTAGCATAAGCAGAGTGTCTAGGGGTACACAACAGTCTCAGGATTGGTGTGCTTCAGGGCTTGGACCACCTGTTCTGTATTGATTGGTCAACTGGTTGTTATGGCCTATAGGCCTTCCCACGTCAGTTGTTATGTTCTGCACATCACTGTTGTACATGTATACATAAAGCACACCCAGAGCCATAAAACACAGCCCCGCCAGCTAACTTCTGATTGGTTCCTTGCCAGAGGAGGTTATCTGACCTCCTGTCGAGTAGAACAGGAGGGGCAAGGTCAGGCAAGCACATGTTAGCCTGTGATGGCTGCTAAAGCAGGGGGCTGGAAAAATGTAAAACCAATAGGTGAATAAGTGTGAAACATAAATGAATTCATAGAAACATAAAAATCATGGGCTGGAGAGATGGCTCTATGGCTGAGAGCACTAGTTCCTCTTGCAAAGGACCTGGATTCAATTCTCAGCACCAACATGGTGGCTCACAGTCATCTATAACTCCAGTCCTAATGGATTCATTGCGCTCTCTGACTTCCCTGGACACTAGGCACACATGCAGGTAAAATACTAATACATGTAAGATAAATCAAAAAAATTTTAACAAAATCAATAAATATAGAAAATTGAACAACCACAATCAAAGATACCAAGTTAATACAAATGAACCCAAGTATAATGACAAACCCAGTGCTGGAGAGAGAATAAAAGGGCACAACTTGGCAAAACAGTGTTCCTGGAAAGTGTTAAACTATTCTTACCTGGTTCTGAGAACCACTGCTAAGGAAAAAACAGGAAGTTGATGAACTGAATTCAAATGAGCTGCAGCCAAGATGGAAGTAACTCCAATGGAGGAAATTTCGAGAATTTGTCTTGCTGGAATCAACACCCTGGGTTTACCTGTGAATAGCATCAGGCACTAAAAACCTCGAGATGGATCCCGACCCAAGCAAGAACACTCACAAGGTCCCAACTGACTGATTCAAACTAACCATGAGAGGCATGAAGACTTGGTTCCTCTTTTGAAGGAACAAGATAAAACTCAAGTAGTTGTCCAAGGCCTACAAAATGCAGCTGAGGTACAGATTGTACAAGTCATGTGAGAGTCTTGTACCCACAGTCTCTCTGGCCTGTTTGTCCCTACCTCGTGTTCAGTCAGCACAAAATATTGTACAACCACCATCATGATGGACAACTAGGCAGAACCCCGAGGAATTCTCCCAGAACACCAACCCCAAGCTGCCCGAAAATTTAGAAGCCTCGAGGAGGCTCATACTCTCTTGTAGGTACCAAAGCAGAGAAGGCATGCCACAGATCTCTGACCCTTGCAGGGAATCTGACTCCCTAATCTGCAGTGTTTACTTTTCTCAGCATGTTTGGGGGGCTCATGGTTGACTTTCAGCTCACTCTGGTGTCTGGGGATGGCAGCTTAATCAATCCCTCTGCCTATCTATGCCCATTTTCTGATTGTTTTATTTTGTGGATGTTTTGTTTCTGGCCTGGGACTTGTAGCTTTCACCTCCCCGGCTCTAGGCTGCCCAACCTGTGTTGTGATTTGATTGTTTTGGGTTTTTCCCCCCCATGGGATTTTTTTCATTTAACATTGATTTTTATTTTCTTGTTTTTACCCTTTTGAGGCACCACTGTATCTTAGCATTGGCTATTTTTATTAAATGTTATTCAACTTCCTATTTGGAGGAGGGAGCTATTGAATTTTCATAACTATCCATGGTAGATTGATAATAAAGCTTTCATAGGAATTACAAATTCCTATGGAGATGGGGGTGGAGAGATGGCCCAGAAGTTAAGAGCACTGACTGTTCTTCCAGGGGTCTTGGAATCACATGGTGACTCACAGCCATCTATAATGAGATCTGGTTCCCTCTTCTGATGTGCAGGCATACATGCAGACAAAACACTGTATATATATATATATATATATATATATATATATATATATATATTTAATAAATCTTTTTTTTGAGACAGGGTTTCTCTGTGTAGCTTTTTTGAAGCCTATCCTGGAACTCCCTCTGTAGACCAGACTGGTCTCAAATTCACAGAGATCTACCTGTCTCTGCCTCTCAAGTGCTGGGATTAAAGGCATGTGCCACCACTGTCCGGCTATAAATAAATCTTTGAAAAAAAGTAAAAAGGCAAAAAAAACCCCCAAATCCTTCATAGAGAGAGAAGTACACAACAACACTATTTATAGGCCAATAGAATTATGGTTAAATAAATGATCATAATTATCTTTAAAGTGATATTATGCAAGTATTAAAAGCTGGGTAAGTAGGCTAGCAAGATTATATAAGCTGAATAAAAAGAGTATACAAAATTATATATACAACGTATAAGACACATAAATGTCTGCAGAGGGAAAAATATCAAAAGAGATACCCTAAGCACATCGTGGTGATTGTAACTGGGTGGCCGGAATATGGGTGATTTTTGCTCTCTGCTTACTTTTTATATCTTCCATGTACTATTTTTATGATGAAAGGAAAAACATGATTATTGATTTTTCTTTTCAAACATTCTAGTTTATTGGGTGTGGTGGCATACACCTTTAGTCCTAGCACTGAGTAGGCAGAGGCAGGTGGATCTATGTGAATTCAAAGCCAGCTGGTCTACAGAGTGAGTTCCAGGAGAGCTAGGGCTGTAACACAGAGAAACCCTGTCTTGAAAAACAATTTTTTAAAAACCTAAAATTTTAGCTTATGCTCTAAGGAATGTATGAAGCAACAAAGACAAGGTCACATAGATCAAATGTATAAAAACAACAAATACAGTATTTATACTAACTATATGCTAATAAAACAAGATACAGTACAAAAATTATTGTTATTAATAAAGTGTACATAAAGTAAAAAATGGGCATGGTAGAATTAATGGAGTTAGGAGGATCAAGAATTCAAGATATTTTTAGCTACATAAAGACTTTGAGTCCAGCCTGAGCTACATTAGACCTGTTTAAAAAAAATAGATAGGTGCAGGTATCAATGGCTCTCTTCTAGTTACAGAGATTTTTCAGGAGGTAATTGAATGATGAGAGTGAAATGTCAAAAACATTTTTCTGCTACTAGGTACTTAGAAGCAGGGCTTAAAGTTGGGCCTGATGATGATAAAAGAAATGATGAAAGAAAGCAAAGTGAATACTGAATGAGAACTGGTCATTGCCAAAAAAGACAACTCACTAAATGAAGGGCCTTAAAGAGAAATAGAACACGAAAAATAAAACCCAGAGGCTGATATTGGGGTTCAAGCTTCAAGCTGAAGATCAGAAAAGCAAAGCAGCCGGCCACTTGCTTTTTCCTCTACTTCAGACTACTCCCAACTTCACTGCTCCTCAGATTCACTCAGACTGCAATGCTCTCATCAGCGTGGCTAGAAACCAACTCTCAGAATGCAGCCTGAGACACTGGGCTCCTATCTATTATATATATCTCTAGGGCTGGAATTAAAGGTATGAGCTCTAATTCTCTGTTAGACTGATTCACTATTGTATAGGCCAGGGTGGCCTTGAACTCAGAGCCATCCACCTGTTCCCTGAGTCCTGGGATTAAAGGTGTGTGCTATCACTGCCTAGTTTCTACAGCTAACTAGTATGGCTGGCTTTGCTTTCTGATACTTCAGGCAATCTTTATTAAATCATAAATAATATATCACTACAGAGAAAGATGTAAAAACCTGAAAAGTAAGGGGTGAGAAAGGAAAGCCTTGGAATTCAGTGGAGTGATGTTTTTAAGCAGGAGGAAGAAATCTAGATTGGAGACTTGGAAAAAATAAGAGGTCATGTAACCAACTATGCGAGTGACTATCACTTCCCTGAACTGAGTTTCCTGCTCTTACTGTGGTCACAAATAGACCATCTCAGAAGGTTCACGAATATAAAATTTCCTTATTCTTGATATACAAGGGAATATTAGCCATTTGCATGCTTGGGTTTGGGGGTGTGATCACAGTGAGGTCTCTAAGACAGCATTGACATAAAGCAGAGGAGTAACTAGTTTACAGGAATCCCTTTCCTTCTATTTCTCCTTCTATTTCTAGGGTCAATGCAAGTATGTTTGCAGTTGAATGGAATAGCAGTTTCTAAGAAATACAAAACAGATGTTAGAGGAAAACATTCCAGGGTGAGTCAGGGGAAGCATGAGTGCACTGTGTGCTCACAGCTTACCATACACTTTTCTTGCTATAATCCTGACAGATTCCCGCATCCCAAACTCTGCCCCTGCAGAAGCAAGGCTGCAGTAGATCTAAAATGTTCTGTGGAAAGAAAAAAAAAACAAAAATAAAAACAAAATAAATAAAGAACCCCCCCAAAAAACCCTCTTGGCTGATCTCAAAAGAAATACTCTTAAGAAAAAGAACATACTCTTCCTGATTTACTTCTTAGACCTAGAAAAACATGCAAAAATAAACTACTTTGGGGAAAATACTAACTATATAGAAACCAACCTCTTGAAACAGAATGGAATCTAAATTCTCATAACTTTCTGTTTACTAATGTTCAGAATCTGATGAAGTTGTTGTACATTTTTAGAAATATGATGCCCTCTGGAAAGCTACATTAGCCACAATAAATATCATACTTTCTTGGAAATACTGTCTAAGGTGTCAATAGGAACATAGCTATAACACACACACACACACACACACACACACACACAACCTACCTCACAATTCTTTATTGATTACTTGGGAATTTCACATCTGGCATAGTGCCTGTGTTACATCCTACTGGTAAAAGTCTCTGCCTAGCTTTAGTGTAGGTGGGAACTCCAGAGTGGATCAGGAGACATAGTTCACTGGAAGCCATCTTTGGAGGCTACCTCTCAAAACACTGTGCCCCCCTCCATGTTTATGAAAGAAATTGCATAAACATGCAACCAAGCGTATTTTCCACCAAATAACCAAATAAGAGAAATGTTCTATTTGCTTCACTATATTGAAGTCTATACTCCAATCTAGTTTCCCCATGATCACTCCCAACAATGCCTCATTCTAATTCTTCTAGCACTATAATTTCTTCACTGTAGGTTGAGTCTCATCTCAATGAAATGTTTTCAGTTGACTGAATCCCTAAGTCCAGAAAAGTTAAAAAGAATGGCCAACTTAGTCTATATGTTTTTATAGAGTTACCAACTCTGTAGTCTTTAATTGCTGACTAAGAAAATTAAAAAAAAAGATTCCAGGAGCTGGAGTTATAGCTTAGTGGCAAGACACATACTTAGCATATATGAGGCCTCAGCCTTAGTACTGAGTTACAGCAATAACAACAAACAAATACAAACCAAATTCAAACAAACAAGCAAACCCATAGACCATCTATTATTATTCTTCATCCTTAAAGAAAAGCTATGTTTAATTTTTTAAAGCACATAAAGATTAAAAGATACTCTTTTTTAAACTAGTTCTATTTTGTTTACAAAAACTTATTACATCTTTTAAAAGATTTTTCTTTGTTTGACAACATTTATGAACTTACAAAGTATATAATGCCTCATGGATTTGCCCCTTCTCCTTGCACCCAGGTCATGTTAGCCTTTTATCACTTCAGTTTTAGTTGTATGTGCACTGCAAATGTGATCATTACATCTTTATTTTTTTCTCACTTTGCTACAAATCATGGAAACTCCAAGGGATGCCATTGGCTCTTGGGTCCAGTGTTTAGGAATGGCTAGCCAATCCAATGTCATTAAACACTGTCAAGACCTTCTTTACTCTGAACCTACAAAACCATTTTACATCTTTCCCTATGGACCATAATCATATCACTCCTTTTCTTACAAGGAATCATTTAAATTGTTGCTGATTCAAACAATACAATGCATTGTTGGTTCTCCATTCGGATTGAACAGTAGTTGCAAGTCTTCCAAGTATTACTATTGTTGGGAAATTGTCTCTGTCCCATTTTGGTTTCTTTATGACCAATGATCAAATAAGCTGTTATGATCTTGAGCAACTGTTTCCCCATCTTTGGTACAGGTATATTCATAACAGTTTGTTTGAAATTATAATATACCTCTCTCTCTCTCTCTCTCTCTCTCTCTCTGTGTGTGTGTGTGTGTGTGTGTCCATGTCCATATGCCATGTATGTGGGGGTATCTTCAGAAGCCAAAAATGTCAACTCTTTTGGACCTGGAGTTACAGATGGTTGTGAGCTGCTTGAAATGGGTTCTAGGAACAAAACTCATAACTTCTAGAAGAGCAGCAACTGCTTTTAACTTCAGCACATTGTTTGTAGAGTAGTGCCTAGCTCTTGGTAAGCTATTTGTATACATCTTAATGTATCCCTTTTTTGTTTTGTTTTTGGTTTTCAAGACAGGCTTTCTCTCTATAACAGCCTTGGTTGTCCTGGAGCTCAGTCTGTAGACCAGGGTGACCTCTAACTCACAGAGATCAGGCTGCCTCTGCCTAGAATGGGTACTGGGATTAATGGCGTGCTCCACTACCCACCCTTCAGTGCCTTAATATATTCTTTACGAGACAGGGTTTCTCTGTATTGTTTTGGAGGCTGTCGGTCCAGCCTGGCCTGGAACTCACAGACATCCGCCTGCCTCTGCCTCCCGAGTGCTGGGATTAAAGGTGTGCGCCACCACCACCCGGCTATATATTCTTAAAATTCAATAATAGAACATCATCTGCTATTACTTTTGCTTCTTAAAGAAAAGTTATTATATTCCATAACTGTATGGGGGACGGGCCATCCAAAGAAACATACTTTGGCCCTGCAACCACGGCCAAAGAAATACACCCTGACCCTGAAACTAGAACCAAAGAAACACTTTGGTCCCAGATTCAGAGCCAGTCAAAGTAATATGCCCTGGCCCTGAAATTAGACACAAAAGGCTAAAAAGGTCAGTGAAAGAAACAAACCTGGGCCCTGAAACCAGAGCCAAATCTGACCAAACCAACTAAATAGAAAACCAACGAATCCCTGAGCAGAAAACCAACCAATCCCTAAGAAGATCTAGCCAATCTGAGTTCAAGGGATTGAAATATGACCAATTCCCACCCTGGAAATCTTCTCTCTGGAAAAACCCTGCCCCTAAGAAGCCCTATATAAACCCTGTGCCTCTTCCATTTGCTGCTGTCTTCTTCACGAAGGCAGAGGTAGCCACGCTCCTGGATTCTTCCCTCCCAGTAAATCACTTGAATAGGTTTGGGTGAGACATTCTTTCACTGGAGCAGAGATGGATCCTGGAGCAGAGCAGAGCAAGGCTGTTACACTTTTGCTAGGTAAACCTTCCCCTAGCAGAGCAGGGGCAGAGTTGTTACACTCCAGGGAACTGGAGCCAAACTCTAACAGCTTCACTGGGGAAGGCCGACCCTGCCAAAGCAGAGCTGTTACACTGGGAAGCCTTTCCCTGGAGCAGAGCAGTAAGTCACTATACTTCCTGTCACCTGTGTTACTCCTCAACTCCTGATTGCCAGAATACTTTTCCTTCTGAGCTGTAACATTTAATATTCCTTAGCTCCTGACTGCCAGGATCCCTTTCCATCTGAGCCACAATGCTTACAACAATCATCAAGATAGCCTTATAGGTAAATACACATATGCTTCACATATACTTCCAGTAGGGGCATTGTCAATAACTTTATTGGTGTCTTATTGTCTTAGCTACCTGTACTTTTTCATGTGTTTCCAAATGGAAAGCAACAATTTTCAGTTCTCTGAGGAAAAAAAAAACTCTACAAATACCTAAAAATGGTAATAAAGGACAAGCAGGGTTTAGGAAATTTATTTCAGGGAAACTGCCAGATTATTTTAAGCCCTATGCTTAAAAATAAATATAATTCACATGACTGACTTAAAATACTAGGGCCAAGAAAAGTCACTGCAAAAGCATTTCATAAAATACCTGAGGGGGGTTGGAGGGATGGCCCAGGGGTTAAGAGCACTGGCTGCTCTTCCAGAGGACCTGAGTTCAATCCTCAGCAACCATATGGTGGCTCAAAACCATCTGTAATGAGATCCGGCTCCCACTTCTGGCCTGCAGGCATACATGCAGACAGAATATTGTAAATACATAAACGAATCTTTTAAAGTTTGTACCTAGTTTTCATTTTGGTTATGATTTTCCGTGAAGGCTTACTTCCTATCTTGATTTACACAGTGGACTTTATATCGAAACATTTCTTGTACCTAATAAAATGAAAAAAAAAGAAAAGAAATAAACATCCAAACAATGTAGTGTTTTCCTAACCTCTGGCTCCCATGCAGATGAATTGTTCAGACGCTACGCATTGCTTTTTATACAGGGACATTTGGTTCATCTGTAGCATTTCCCAGTGTGGGGTAAAACACACCCACATGTTCAACCTCCAGCAATCTTTCATTTAACTATGATCAAACTCAAGGATTGATTAGGAACAAATACAGGTTGGCCTTCTGCTGAAGGCAGTGAAAAACAATCAGAAACCTTTCAGCCTGTCACCCCACAGTCAATGAAGAAACTGAGCTAGGAGGAAATGCTCATTATTTTCATATTCCACATTAGTTGGGATAAAACCACAGTTCTAAGTTTTACTGAGTGTCCTGACATTGAAACAGTAGCATCACGCAAGCAAGACAGAACTAAAAGTTGATGTGAGAAAGACAATAGGAATAGCTTAAAAACATTGATTTTTCTATGAATTTTCCTCTTTAATTAAACTGCGTTTAACTTTTATCGATTCTATCTTCCAGAGTCAATATTTTAAGACTCCCTTGACACACACGGCTTGGGAACGCTGAGTGCGTGGTGATTTTTCCCATTGCATCGTTAAACAGATTCAGCGTGGTGGGGCTCAAGGACAGCTGACCACAGTGGTCTGGAAAAATCCAAATTCCACTGGTGATGAAATAACTCTCTGGTACCTCCGGACGAAAAGCATCCTCCTGGCCCAGCCAAAAGTATCTATCTCAGTGATAACAAGCGCCGTTTTTCCTTGTCAGAATTCTCCCGACCAGAGGCTAAGTAACTCCCAGAGGAAGCTAAGCTGGGCACCAGCCAGTACCGAGACCAGAAGCAGGAAAAGGTCCACCTCCGCCCGGACCTCCACGGCGGCCCCGCCCCCGCCCGGCCTGCCCCGCCCTACCCCGACCGTCGCGACCCGGCCAGACCCGCCCTGACAGGCGCCAGCGTGCGCGCGCGCGAGTCCCGGACTGTTCCCCTTCCGAACGCCCGCGCCGCGCCTGCGCACTGCGCACCGGCGGTCTCCGTTTGTTTGAACAGGAAGGCGGACATATTAGTCCCTCTCAGCCCTCCTCGCCCCACCCCCCAGGCATTCGCCTCCGCGACTCGCCCTTTTCCCAGCCCGACCGCAGCCCCTCCCAGAAGCTCCCTCATCTGCAGCCGTCCGGACCCCTCGGTCGTCTTCCTCACCGGCCCGTCTTCCCCCGAGCCGTCTGCGGGCCACCGGCCTCGCCCTGCCCCGCCGGACACCGCGGTAGCAACCCCAGCAGCGATCGGATAAAATGGGAGAGTGAGCCTGTTCTGTGGGGACCGGTTCTTGGCCGGGGGCTGATCAGTGGTCGGGCCGGGCCGAGAGGAACCAGGGATGCGGGGTTAGACCGCCCCCACAGCGCCTCAGAGCGGAGCGGTGCCGGCCCGGGGCCCAGGCGGCGGCGGCGGCGGCGGCGGCTGCAGCTGGCGCAGCTCCTCACCCGCCCTTCGCTTTCGCCTTTCCTCTTCGCCCTCCCTGGCTGCCCCGAGGGAGTCTCCACCCTGCTGCGCTCCCTCTTCCCGCCGCTGCCCTTCTCTGGACTGGGCCCCGCCATGGCGAAGGCTGCCGGGGCCCGCTAGGCTGAGGCGCCTCGCCGGAGCGACCGGGCTGCTGGCGACGGCGCTGTTGGGTGTCGCGAGAGGCTGCCGGGTGGGATGCAACTTTGGGCGTCCGAGCGGCTGCGGGTCGCTGTCACCCCCAGCCTGGGGTCTGAAGAGCAGAAGTCCCCTCAGTGAGGGGGAGGAGGGGGAACCGGCGCACCTGGTGACCCCGAGGTTCCGGCTCCTCTGCCCGGCGGCTGCGAACCCACCGCAGAGGAAGTTGGTTGAACTTGCTTTCCGCTGCGGGTACGAAGGTATTGTCACAATTAGCAGCATCATGTCGACTGGGGACAGTTTTGAGACTCGGTTTGAAAAAATCGACAACCTGCTGCGGGATCCCAAATCGGAAGTGAATTCAGATTGTTTGCTGGTGAGTGCCGCTGTTTTCTTTGCGTTGCCTTGGGTTCCTCTTGTTTGCACTCTGGTTAACTACGAGTCTCAGGTGTGCATAGTCATCTTGGGAAGATGCCAGATTTCTCTTTTGCAAGAGTTTTGGAGCACCAGTAAACCTCATAGTTCAAGCCCCTTTTAAGCAGTTTCACTGGTTCCCTGCTAGCTACTTCTGAACTTAGGTTTTGATTCTGCTGTCAGTCCACTGAACATACCTAGAAACTGTTATTGCAGGTCGTATCAGAACGGTAACGTGTCAAAGTATATAGTGTTTGTTGAATGAGGATCTTAGTATTAACTTCCCGGATTAGTTTGACAGTAGTATTGAAAAATCTACTTTCTATTTAAAAAATTAGTTCCTAGGGGTTTTAGAATTGATACTGAGGAAGTGATTTTTAACTTTAGGTGTCTTGAGGCTAAAGAAACTTAGCTGAACGTTAAATGCAAACGCTTATGGTAACTAATCCTAGGCCAGCACAAGGTTGATGATTTTTAAAACATCATTAGTAAATATATTTCACATCTATTAAAAACTATTTTTGATGGTAGTGAACTTATATCACTTTAAAAAACATTCTAAAGTTGGTAAATCACCTGAAAAATTGTCCAGTCATTGATAGCAAATACAATTATTTGTAAATAATTGACATTTGAGTACTGCTAATACAATTACCAACTGAATTTTTCCATTTACTACTAAAAACTATATATTAATACTCTGGCTTGTGCCTTAAGCATCTTGATTGATGCATCTACTTTGCCCTTTATTCCTTTATTCCAAACTTTTTTTTTTTTGGTTTTCCAAGACAGGGTTTCTCTGCATTGTTTTGGAGCCTGTCCTGAAACTCACTGTAGACCAGGCTGGCCTTGAACTCACAGAGATCTGCTTCTGCTTCCCAAATGCTGGAATTAAAGGCATGTGCCACCAATGCCTGGCTCCTTTATTCCAAATATTCAGCTGTCTTCTGTGTATCTTTTTGGGCATCATATTATCTAGATTTCTTATGTTCTAAACTAAAATATTTGTGTTAGTATCACTACCATCTGCCACTAAACTGTTATGAACTTTTTGGCAATACTAGTCCATGCATTTGAGTTATTACAAAAGACTTTGAGTAGAAATTGAGGATCTTGATTATTGCATAATCTCCATCCCCTTACCAGTTGGATTAATCACATTTGAAAATATGCTACTGTTGGTGGAATAAAAAGATTTGAAATAACTCATAGCTGTGTGCCTACTGATGTTCAAAGCTATGTGCCTACTGTTGTCCATAGATAGCTGTGTGCCTCTTAGTACTCTTGATTTCTAGTTTATGGGTTTTACTATTACCAGTAGGACATATTGGTTTGGAGCAAACCTTTTTCCTTAGCTTTTTGCTTTGTTTTGTTTCGTTTTTAAAGAGATGGGGCTCTATCTTAGTCATTGTTCTATTTCTGTGAAGAGATACCATAACCAAGGCAATTTTTATAAAAGAAAGCATTTATTTGGGGCTTTGCTTACAGTTTCAGAGGCTTAGTCCATTATCATGGCGGGGAGCATGGAAGCAGGCAGGCAGGTATGGTGCTGGAGATAAATGTAGCTGAGAGCTACATCCTGATCTGCAAGCAGAGACACACACTCAGAGCCCACCCTCAGTGACCATCAAGGCCACATTTCCTAACACTTTTCAAATAATGCCACTCCCTGATGACTAAGCATTCAAATACATGAGCCTATGGGGAGCATTCTTACTCATACTACCACAGGTTTCAACTATGATGCTAAAGGTAGCCCCAAGAACACCTAGCCTCAAGCAATGAAATTCTTACTTCAGCCTTGCAAGCATGCATAGTTTAGACTAGACTGTTCTGATTGTTAGTTTATTGCAAGGACAATAAACAAACTAGTCTCCCATTTCATTTAAACATTTAGTAAATTTTCTGTAGATCTAAATGTGAATTCAAATCTAGGTCTTGTCATGTGTGAGCTAGAGGAATTTTGTTTGTTTGTTTTAGGATAGGTTTCTCTGTGTATTCCTGACTGTCCTAGGGGGTTTTAGGTGAGTTATTTTAACCCCCCAAAACTCATTTTAACTTCAAGAAAATTGTTATGAGAATTAAATATACAAATTATCAGTTTATAGTGGCTAGTAACTTGATAATTGGCAACCGTTATTGTCATATTGTAGTATTACCGGTGGTGCATTGTCTTTAAGTGCATAGTAATTTACCTGACACTTAAGGTTATAATCCAGATAAGTATTGATGAAACATCCAAACATAATATAACTGAAAATGTAAACATTAGATGAATTCAACTAAGGGAGGGGTTTTTGGATACTGTTCACTCAGTCATGTTTTATTTTGTAGTTATGGGAATTAATTCCAGGACCTTGCACAAATGCTTTATCTCTGAGTTACATCTCTAGCACCTTAGTCAGGATTTATTATGTACTTGTGATGGTTTGAATAAAAATGTCTCCCTTAGGCTCATATGTTTGAATGCTTGATCATTAGGGAATGACATTACTTGATAGGGATTAGGAGGCGTGGCCTTGTTGGAGGAAGTGTGTCACTGGGGGTAGGTAGGCTTTGAGGTTTCAAAAAGCCTATTTCAAACCCATAGACTCTCTTCTTCCTGCTGCCTTTGGATCCAGATGTAGACTTCTTAGCTACTATTTCTGCCTGCCTGCTGCCTTGCTCCTCATGATGAGGA